TATTTTTATATCAGCAATGAATCAAAAGCCACCTGCCTTGTGCCAAATGGCAGACAAAATTACAGCTGGTGACCATAATGAACACTGAACTTCTACGCAACCATATATTTTTTCCATTAGCTGATGTGAGACCAAAACAGAGCTAAAATGAGAGTCAGTTTTGGTCAGACACATGACTCCAAATTGCCCCAAACATGTAACAGGACTAAAAAAAAAAAAGCTAAATGAGGCTATTTAAATGATGTGAGTACAAGGGCGGCAGTAGAGTTACCATCTTGGAAAATGAATGTCACATTCTGCAGACATTGTGTTAATAGAGCATAATTGTTTGCTAACATGTTACAACTTCATGAGAAATATCTGGTTTTCAGCTTGTTGAGATGCAGCTTTTGTAGAAAGAGTTTTAACCATGATGATGAAGATATTTAATTAAATCCAAACTAAGTAAATTGAGTTACCTAAACATCACCTTAACTATACTGTAGTTGCCAGAATGAACTATTAAGTTATTGAAAAGTAAAAATGGATGTGGGTGTTTTTTTATACTTTGGATATAATGGAATCGTACAATAACTGTGAAGAAGCAAACTACAACTTTCACCTCTCAAGTGTACAGGGGATGAATGTTTCATGCTCAAAAGACAGACTTTTTGAGTTGTACCACTTTAAAGTTTCTAAAGAGTTTTACTTTGCTCATTCAATAATTCACCTCAACATATTTCCTCAGTCAGAACTGCTAACAGAGACTAACTGAGCTTCACTGCCTGAAGCTTAGACATACATAAAAAATGTATTTTCAGAAATATTTAAAGAATTAAGACAATTCAATTTATGTTTACAGCCTATGGACATTTAAAAATAAAAACACACATTTTACTGTGTGATGACTGTATAAAAAATGGATTTAGTTGAGAGTCAAAAAGCACAAGATCACTAGCTTCTATGTATGACTGGCACTGATTATTCATTTCTGGCTGTTCCTATTATGTTCCATTCATTATTCATGTATATTGGTGGACTCCTCATCCATACAAAAATATGGATGAGGAGTCCACTTAGTCCTACTCCTAAATCCATAAATGTCCTTTCACTAAGAATATATACTCAGAAAAGTGTGTGTATTTTGACAATCAAACTTCTGTCCACAATTTGCACAGATCAGAGTGCTGGCTGCCTCAAAGGACCACACACAGTCTCAGTTCAGGTTGTTCAGTAACTAACTTTCTTCATTGCCTGAATGAAGGTGTGACATGAAGGCATCAGAGTTACTGTAGACAGAGAATAGTGAGGCATTGAAAATTAATTCAATAAACACGGCAGAGCTTCTATAGTTAAATGGCCACCATGAGTTAATTATTATATTAAACATATCACCATGAAAGGATAGAGCTACTCATATTAAGATTTCATGTTATTCTCAAGGTCAGCTCTGGCTAGCTTTTTTTTGTAGAGGGCATTACTGGGGCAGAAAACAGTTTAGCTGATGTGACTCATTTCAGAAAAGTGAACATGGTGGAACTTTGTGTATAGATACAGGGTTTCTTCAGGACAATGAAAATGAGTGAACAAGCCTCTTCTAATGAAACCAAGCGACCGTGACACTAATCTTGCTTCTCATAAGAAGGGAGCTGCTCAAAGGACAACCAGTGTAAACACACGTGGATGCACAACATATTTGACTTAGTGTTACACTCAAACGAAATGAAATTCATAGGTCTAGATCAAAAGTGTTAATGAGAGAGATTTCAGATATATTCTACAGTACAGTTCTACTGTACACTAGCAAAAGGCCTTATCGTATTGTATCATTCAATAGAAGGCTCAAGTCAGTACACAATTTTGTTCAAAATCACCTTAATAATACGTAGTACATTACACCCAATTGCAATGGTGGAAGAAGCACCTTTTTTACCTTTAGTACATAAGTATTATCAACTAAATGTATCTAAAGTATCAAAAGTAAATGTAAATGTACTCTGACCCTGTGACCGATAAATAATCATATGTTACATTTTTAGACTGTTATAATAAAAGACCTCCATGCATAAGCAGCTTTTTATTGCTGGAGTGGCTGGAGGTGCAGTTAGTTTCAACAATTATATGTATAGCTAGCTAGTTTACAGCAGCTCAAAATGTAGAGTCTTATTTTTAAAAGAAACTAAAGCTGATGAATATAGCGAAGTAGAAGTATAAAGCATGCATGCATAACATGAGCCTTTTTCATTGTATGCTCAAAATTGTGCTTAATTAAAATACTTTCCACCACTACCTAATGGACAGCTGAAAGGAATGGGAGACAGATTTGTGAAGTACTACACTTGTATAAATGCATCTCCTTAAAAACAAATACTGTGGTATTTCTGTTGAACCTTGCAGAAAGTCTAAAGAAAGGCACCATTGAATAATACATACTGCCGGATAAAAATAAATGAAAATAAGTATAATAGACCATTTCAATATCCAAAATATACCACAAATCCAAAAACTATTCTAGTGGTCGCTCATGTCATTGATGATTTCACATTAGATGTGTACGTTGGCAGAGATCCATTGATAATTCATAGGGGATCGCCTTTACAGTAATGGCTTAGATATTAGTCCTGCATGGCTATTTAATGACGGGTCTAGGTGTGAGTCATTAAAACACTTCTATATTAAGTTTTATGACATTTATGATAGTTTAGTGAGGTGTGGTGTGGTCTGTTGGACCAGAGGGAATGTGGGAAAGAGGTACTGCATGGCGAAGTCTGCTAAAGAAACTGAAGATTAATGTTCAACTACAATAAACTAGTGTGTCAAAGAGTGGCCTGGAAGATCATTCTCCTCATTCACACTGCAAGATAGTCTCATGACAGCCCTGAACAAGCAAGTCATTTATGATAGTGTGAACAAGTGAGATTACTCAAGGTGGCTATTGGTCAATAGTGATTATTATAACATAGCAAGAACAAGACCTAAATGAGTAACTAGTTGAGGAACTTCTCCTTAAAGTGAGCCACTGAAAACTACACTTCCTCTGGCATTAGGCCAAAATGTATTATTCAGTTTTGTAACTGTTCAACAGTGATGGAAAGTCACTGTATGTACAGTACATCTTCTCACATCTGGTACTTCAGTACAATTCTGAGGTACTTATACATAACTTGAGCCTTTTCCATTGTATGCTACTTTATACTCCTATTCCACTATATTTCAGAGGGAAATTGTGTACTTTGCAACATTTATTTGACAGCTGTTTAATACACTGTTACACTTTTAAGATGGTTCAAAACTTTACAACGTAAGTTCCCATGCTGCTTAAAAATGTGAGTTAAGTAAAATTCGGTTGATTATTTTTTTCAAAGTAGTCCCATGAGTTTTAAACATGTAAAACCAATTGGGTTAAGTTCAGTGAACTAGAAAGAAAAAGTTAAATAAACTTAAGATAAGTTGAACCAACAACTGTTCAGTCACACTGACATATGCTAGACTGATTTGCTTTTCATTTCCATTTGTCTCTTTTTGATATGAAGAATTTACAGCTGCAGCTGCTACTTGTGGAGCACCTTTGAAGCAGAATCAGTGCAAAGGAAAACATCAACATTTTATATCACATCTAGACAAACATTCAGTCCAAAGGCCAAAAAAGAATTAGAAATCTGTGCTTTTCTGCTTTTCTTCTTTCCTACTTAATAATCTCGTGACCCCTGTGATGTATCATGTCAGCCTGTTGAGGGGCCCGACGCTTAGGTTGGGAACCACTATACTAGCTGTTTATAAAACAGTTAAATTTAGTTCCATCTCAGCAGCCACAGTTTACTTATGTAGAAGTCTGATTGCAGGACTTTTACTTGTAATTGTACTTATTCTTAAGTTAAGGATCTGAATACTTCTTCCACCACTGCTGATCAAATATATATATATATATATATATATGTGTTTGTGGTCCACTATCCCAATATTAAATGTGCAGGAATTGCAAGCATTAAGGGGCATGTGTCGCTACTGTATAATCCACATACTGATAAAGAGTCAAATTAAAAGTATAGGATTTGGAATTAAACCTTCATGAAATTTTGACAGTTTAAGGGAGTTTCCAGTCAGTTTAGGTACAAACAAGAAAGTGTCATCACACAGGTATTTCTTATGCATAGCCCGAATTACTTACACTCGACTGAGTGTTTAGTCCATGCTTCATTATAATCTGGCCAAAAAGAACTCAGAAAGGAATCTAATTCTTCACTCAACAAATGCCTTTTGTTGCCACTGAGGGGGGTATCTATGATGGCATAAAAGCAAACGGTGATGAGGGCTAATTGCTTTGGCATTTGTGAAGCCTCTTCATTACCTTATTTACCTGAGCAGAGCAACAAAGTGGATTAAACCAACGGCTGTTAGTCCTTTTCTCTCAGTTTACAGCAGATGATTTGTTTATTTTCACTAAACCCAAAGTAGCTTGTTAAAGGCCCAATGTGAGTCACACGTAAAGAGAAAATTATACTCCCAAGAAATGCCTCAGCTGTATGTACCATAAAGTTGGTAAGCCCTCATGCGCGCGCACACATACAGCCCCCAACCAACACACACACACGCTGGACTGATATTCAGGTGAACACATCGCGCATCCATCCAGCCAATCACAATATAAGTAAGCTCACGGGCTACTGCGTCCCTGTCAATGACCTTGTTTCAGTCTATTTCGCGGACAATGCACTATTATGGCTTTGGCATTACACTCTGGTGGCGGCTGCTGCTGCTGCTGGTGGTGGTGGCGGAAGAGGGCACCGGAGGGGGGGGGGCTATGATAACACACTGCACGGCCAGTCCGACTGAGTACCACTCCCTGGGAGTCTCCTTCATCATCATGGCCATTATCTGCCTCTGCAACGTCCTCCACACATGAGTAAAAAGCATAGGCTACACAAAAAGAGAGAAAGCTGGCCGTGCAACCCCTGCTCCGCCTGAACAAAATTAAAAGAAAGCTCAATGAGAGAAGATAATGTGGAGCAGCCGCTACTTACCGTACTGTAGCTCCGTGTGGCAGGCACTATCTCGTCTAATTTTCAATGGTGCGAGGAGCCAGCCCGGGCACCCTGTTTTCCAAATGGCTAGGTAAGGCAAGTCAATAGCCCGACGGGTAAACCGATGCAGCTCAACTCGAGGAAATAAACACGAATGTCGCCGATGTTTCCCCACTCCACTCGAGGGAAACCCTTTTTTAAAAAAATCGACGAGAGGAGAGAAGAGACAGAGCAAACAACTCTCTTCTAGCAAGAAGAGGCAACACTCCTTTCCGAGACGTGCGGGGTTTGCTCAGGATGTTTTTTTTCTATCCCATCCGCTCCTCCAACGCCGACACGGCTGCAAAACCTTGAGTGTTGCTGCCGGAGACTCAGCCAGCAGCCCGCAAACACGTCGCTTATATCCGTCACTTGGCATTAACACTGTACGCAGCTTTCAGTTTGCGCACCAGTCGGTGCTACTGAACAACAACTAGCAGCACAACATGACTGACTGACTGACTGGCTGCAGCGCTGACAGGCAGGCTGGGCTGGGCTGGGCCCCCTCCTGCCACGCAAAGTGAAGAAATCCCCAGCAGAAGTCTCTCCGGGCTCATTTAAAACGACAGACTACATAAGAAACATGTTTTACATAACAACAACAACAAGAAGAACATCCTCATCCTACTTCTGTGCTGGAGCATGTGATGGCAACATGGTGAGCCTTTTAAAGGGGTATCAACGCGTAACTGCAGGCACGGGTTGCCTCTGGATCCACCCCGTTAACTTTCTTGGGAGGATGCGCTGTGGCAGTAATTGGACACGGCGATGACTGTCTGGCAAGCTGGAAGCACCTATGTACAAACCATCGTGCCACAAAGTGAGATGCAGGTCAGGAAAACCTCTCCTGTGGCGGTTGCACAGGCTCCCTGCCAAAGGTTGCAAGTATGGATCCAACCCAAATTACAATTAGTAAGTTTACCCAATTAAACTGAACATAATTTAGTAGCCTATTATTCCCCCCACTATCATACATGAACCTCAAAACATAAGCCAGCAATGTATGGGGTTTTTACTTTGACATGAAACACTGACTTTCCGTGCCTGTTCATTCAAAATGGGCAACGTCTTGGGGCCAAGGCCACTGGTGGTCCCAAAAACTCCCAGGTCCACTATATGTCAGTTAGTTGTATGTGTAGGTGTCATTTACACTGGGGACATGTCCCCACCACATTTTGGAATGGCCCATCACTGTTTGAAAGCACTGAAAAAGTAACTGAAAAATGTACTGAAAAAGCTTGCACCAAGAAATGTTAACTAACAAATGGAAATGCTTTGAGAAAAGGTTTATTTGAACAATAAGAAAACATGCAGTGCAATATAGTTTTCCCTCATATAAAAACAGACATTTCCACCGTAAATTGGAGCAGAAAATGTTCCCAGAATGCAGGAAATTACCAGTTTAATGCTCAAAGTCTTCAGGAGGAGGACCCCCAGACCCCCCGCACATATATTTCAGCATCAAATATTTAATCTAAATAGTCCTAAAAATCTTCTTGTCTTGTTCTCATGCATTATCACGTCTCATGACCCAAAATTTATCATCACGCCCCTGATCTGAGCCCTTATGTCCCCACCACTTTTCAACACAAAGTAACGCCCTTGGTTGTATGTAATTTTAAGCATTTTCAGGAGTAGGCTATGCACCATACAAAATGACATTAAAGTCCTGAATTTATGGTGCATTATCTTACGCCGATGTACTTTGTCCCTAGATCGCTTCAGTGTCTATTTTAAGACTTTTATAGACTTTTTAAGATTTTTGTTTATATTGTGCTCATGGAGCATATTCCTAAATAAAGTTGTATTTAATAAAATGGCCTAAAACTAATTAACAACTCTGGACCAGATTTTTCAGCATATAAAAGACTCACAAGCCCTTACAGCTGCAGCTGATGGAGATGCAGTGACCTGCTCTTGGACAGTAACATATGCTTGCCAATGAAGCTTGATACCTATGTTGTCCACTGAAATTGAGATATTCATCAAGTTCTCTCAAAGTCCTTTGTTCCCAAAGTACTATGCCTGAAGTGAATTTTATTTTTTAACAAAGTCAAAGATTTTCACTTTGGCAACAGAAGTTTGTCTATAGCTGTGGGATCACAGCTTTTGAGTGTTAAAAAAGTAAAGGTCTGAAACCACAAGACAGGAGGCTTTTTCTCTCACACTCCTTTATGTTGAATTTCCAAATTAACCATGCATTTCAGCTTTCCAGTCTCCTCTATAAACTCTATTTAACACCCTTAATTAACTTCACAGACAAGTGATTTTTGAACAGCTAACAGTTCACCACAAGTGTTGAACACATTTTATTTTGACAAACTGGTACTTAAATGTTATTCTTCCACCAAGCAATATAACTTTTGAATAGCAGCTTAACAAAATGATTGTCAAGTGATGCATTCTGATTGCCGCAGCTTCTGCATATTAACATTTAGATGACATTTTGTAGCCAACCACTTTGTAGCCAAGATCCCATGGCTCAAGTCCAAGTTGAGTCCTGAGGCTCAATTTTTCAGGTTTGAGTTCAAATGATGAAGATCATGTTCAAGTCTGTAGTCCAAGTCCAAGTCTTGACTCTGAATAATTCATACAAGAACAAAAAAAAAGAAAATTTAAGACTTACATACAGGATGGGCCTCTTTTACAGTAGACATTTCACAGTAGGAAAATCCCAGTTGTTAATAATAATATGGGTCTGTTTTAATTAAGTGACGACCATTAATTTTATTATTTACACTTGTATTTTTCCGACTATGACATGTCAAATTGTAGTTTTGAGGACTAAAAAAAATTACTTTTTCATTATTTGCATAATTATGATACTTAAAGGGATAGTCAGTAGTTGCAATGCAATAGGCCTACACATTTTTCAACAAATATTTCCTCACGGTTTACTAGCCCTTCGTTCTGTGTATGCTCTGAAAGAAAATCCGTTTTTTCCCTACACAGCCATGGCTCTGTAAATGGAAAACAAAGAAAGTCGTGTGGACCAAGCAGGAACTTACAGGTCTGAAAAGTGAAGCCAAAGCAGGAGTGCCTTAAACCTGCATTCTCTCCAACAGCCAGCAAGGGATGACTCCACTGATTGGACTTAATGACAAAATGACCCTACTTCCCACTTGATTTATTACCTCAGTAAACACTTTCCTAATTAGTTTATCATCTCAGTCATCTTCTTCAATACAGCATGATGTTCATTTTGTAAATTATGGTCCCATTTAGAGGAAAATAGATGATAAATGCTTTAGGGCGGGGCTACCTTGTGATTGTGATTGTCGCCTCTATCAATCAGGATAGAGACGACTAATATCCACTGCTAAATTGGACCAGTACCTTTAAAAAAGCTTAATTTTTACAGTAAGTAGGCTACATTTTTGTTTTTAACCACTTTTTCGCTAGCCAAAATTGCCATCCCAGTTAATATTACAGGTAACGTGAGTTACAAATGCACCTCGCTAACAAAGTTAGCTACTGCCACCTTCTTGCCCAAATATCTGGTCTGGTTCCAAAAAAACAAGATGGTGACAGCCAAAATGCCAAACTCAAGTATTCCACAAAACAGTATTCCACAAATCAATAGGTAATGTCACGGTGATTACGTCCACTTCTTTTATACAGTATATGGTGTGGACCTTGCAACACAACATTGTTCTAGCCAATCAGTGACAGGTGGCAAAAGTGCTCATGCACAGGAGCAATGGGGAAGGGGGGCAGTGGAAGAGAGAGTTCTATACATTGGCACATCCGAACGTGCTGGAATCCAGGCCCTGTGAAGAAGGAGAGATGGCCAAGAAACAGCCATAGTGGAAAAGGTCTGAAGAGAATAACATGGAAGAAAGTTATATGAACAGGCAAGGTCAAAGGCATTTCAACCCTGGAGAAAACTCAGAGATTTGAAATTTGGGGTGTGGAGCTTCTGAGTGCTTTCATCAAGTGTAAGTACGAAAAACAAAACTTTCCCAAAGACATATAGTGTATAGAGGGCGGCTGTGGCTCAGGAGGTAGATCGGGTTGGCCGTTAATCGGAAGGTCGGCGTGTCGAAGTGTCCTTGGGCAAGATACTGAGCCCCGATTTGCCCCTGGTGGCTATTCCGCCAGTGTATGAGTGAGTGTGAATGTTAGTTTCTGTTTGAGCACTTAGGCTCAGTGTATGAATGTGTGTGACTGGTGAATGCAGATGTAGTGTAAAAGCGCTTTGAGTAGTCGAAAAGACTAGAAAGGCGCTATACAAGTACGGAGCATTTATAGAGCATAACATTAAAAAGTCCACAGTCTTCATCTGTGTTAATAATTAATGTTCATCTTACAAGTGATAAAATCTGTGAATCCAGTCAGACTCACTGCATCAACATAATTGACTGTAACTCACTAGAGAGACTAGATTTTGTTTACAAATGTCATCTCAAAATAGGTGTGTTCATACTTTGTTCGACATTTAGCAAATACAAATCTAATGCTTTTAAGCATGTTTAGCCCCTGGACTCACACATCCCACATGTCTGTAAGCATCAACTGAAGAAACACCAACCATTATGTGACGTCTAATGAAGTGTTACCCTCCCTGCAATCAGTCAGCTTTTTAAAAAATAATACAGCATCATTTGAATACAGATTGGGTTGATTATTTTATTTTTAAAAGCCCTCACACCCATGCAGGTGTTTTCACTTTTCCTGATTAGATTGCGGCTCAGGTTGAAGTTGGGCAGAGCTATGCTGAAATATCATGAGGTCAACAAACTGCATGATCCAATCACAATGATAGAAGTGTAACTCCCCCACCCTAACTGTTGCCACTAAACTGATAGGTAGGACAGAGAGATGTCAATGCACACTCCTCAGAAGAGGTACAATCACGCAATACGTGGCAACATCGTTTTGGGTGAACCATAGAAGTGTAGGGTCTTAGCCATGCTAGCAGCACGGCATTAGGGATGGCATTCGGCTGGCCCACCAGTTTGGTCGAGAATGAAATATCCCAACACAATTGCTAGTAAGATTTGTACATGTTTATGGTCCCTAATTTTATTTTGGGTGAACCCCCAACTTTCCTCTATGCCACCATGAGGTTGACATTTATGGTTTTGCAAATTAGGTTTAGCATGCTATCACGCTACACTAAAACTGTGAATTTTGTACCAGCTAAACATGAGCATGTTAGCATTTTCATTGTGAGCATGTTAGCATGCAGGTGTTAGCATTTGACTCAACACGCTGCTGTGCCTATAAGTACAGCTTCACACCGCCGTTAGCGTGGCTGTAGACTTGTTTGTGTGCTAACACCTAAAATAATTTTTTGTGTTGTCTACCAAAACCAAAAATCTATGTTGTTTCTAAGGGCGGTTATAATTGGGGTTTTCCACAAGACACAGTCCAGTGAGTGTGTATACAAAATAAGAAAGGCAGCAGATTGTGATTTGTGGAAAACCCCAACTAGATCTCATCGTGTTAGACTCAAACAACAATGATTTTTGCATTGGGTTGGAGTTACAATAAAAAAAGCCTGGCAACAATCAATTTACTATGTTGCGCCTTAATAAAGCTAAACAATGAAATCCCTATGATTTCTGATTGATAATTATTGGATGGTGAGAAAGGACGTAACACTTAGTTTACCAATTTACTGCCAGTGTAGGGTTTAGCCTTAATTACACATACACAAACACACACACACACACGCATACACATACACACACAGTGGGATTCACAATTAAGCTGAATCAGGATGCAGGGCTTGATTGAAGAGAACGTTTGCCAACTAGTCAGCGCTCTAAAAGAGGAAAAGAGACAAGTTGGAACATGAACTGTGTGAACAGCAGGGTCCAGAAGCTCCTGTCCCATGTCTTTTTCTCTGTTTGTCCACCACAAACACCATACCCATGCACACACACACACAAACAAATGAACACAGACCCAGACACATATTCTTTATGTTGATATTTTGTTTACATAAGTAAGTAAAAGATTTCATCCAAAGGTCATCATTGTGGTTTGCCAAAGTGACCACATTTTCAAGGATGTAAGTTTTAAGTACTTCTCTTACAGTCTGATTCTCAGTACACAAAACAGGAAGTTTCCACCAGTATGTTGTGTTTCCAGACAAACTGAAAATGTAACTAACTGTATAAAAGTTTAGCCTCAGCTGCAAACATTTCCGATTCCCATTATATATATATATATATATATATATATAGTATAGTATAATATTAGTTATGACACCACTGCTGAGATTCTCAAGGTCAAAAGGTCACATTCATTTATATGACTGCTTTTGCTCTAATCAAGCAATGTTATTTCTATCTCAGTATCTCAATTATATGGTTTTTAATTCCCTGAAGTGGTAACAAGAGCTGGGACACATCCCCTCAAAATGTTTTATTCCTATTATTAATGACAAACATTATTAGTTACCTGCTTACAAAAGGGTAATAGGAGAGATATAACAATGATGTCATTGAGTTGATTTTAGTATGTCTCAGTAGTGTATTGTAAGTAAAACATATAGCATGCCAATTAAACCTCGTACAGGAATTGCATTTGGTGATGTCAGCCAGTGGAAAAATATGTCACTGCTTTAAATCAGGCACGTGCTGGTCTCAAGATGAAGCATCGAAAAGCTCAGAGGTAAAACTTTAATGATTCCCAGCCTTCGATGTTTCCAGCACCCTCTTGTTTTCTCTATAATGAGCACAGCCAATCACCAAGCAGGATTCTTGCCACCTTTGAGAACTTGATAACAAGGGTCTGATCAGTGATGCGGCAAAGCGGGGAGCGACCAAACGCACTGCAACTTCTCTCTGTGCTGGAAAGTCATATCTTTGCCTACTTCTTGCTTACATTCAATAATGTTTGGGTGGACTGTCAACCTCCTGGGCTTAAGAATCTTCATTTCTTGCATTGGACTTGTTGGTAATGTATTTCTCATCCTCGCCATCATTCACACCAAGTTCTCCCCACTTAAAACCTTTGAGTTGTTCCTCTTGGGACTGGCTGCTGCCAACATGGAGGAAATTGTCATCGTGAACATCTATGATATTATCATCTTCCAGACTTCTACCACCAGCACTTGGTTGTGTCATTCGCTCAAGTTCCTGACTATGTTTGGTAAAATTACTAGCATCTTCTTCACCGTCCTCATCAGCACCTTCCGCTACCAGAAGCTGAGAGATGTCGACCACAGGGTCAACCTCCCAGTCTGCCTGGACAGCATCAGGGCAGCCTTGATGGTGAGTGGGGTTTGTGTGATGCTCTCCATGCTACTGAGTCTCCCTATCTTTGTCATAAGTCTTCAAGGTCCTGGGGAAAATGACACTAGAAGCAGCGGGGGCTGCCACCCAGACTTCTTTGTGTGTAGTAAAAATGATTATCCCGTACTCAACTACTTTTACAAATACTTGTTCATCCTGGTGTGCAACCTGCTGCCTCTGCTTATAGTCACAGTCACCAGCTGCCATATCATCATGGTGCTGCTGACCCAAAGGAAGACGGTGACACCAGAGGTGGGCGTGAGCGGGCCAAGCCAGTTCGGCAGGAAGAGCAAAGGTCTGTGGCTCCAGCGAAGCATGATCTCTGTACTGGCAGCTTTGGCATTGTTCCAGGCAGACTTGACTCCCTACCTCATCTTCCAGCTGACTTTTAGACCCACTGACTCTCCTGTGTGGGCTGAAATTGAGTTCTTTATTGCAACTACCTATGCATCCATCAGTCCATATGTGTATGGGATAGGGGATAACCTGTTCTCTCTGAAGAACTTTTTAAAGAAATAATTTAAAGTTTCTCTTCAGGCTAAATGTGTTTTTAAAACTGTGCTGAGCTCTTGTTTTTAGTGACAAAAAAATATTAAGCAGAAACAAGTCACATGTGTTATTTGCTTGTCAATAAAAATGCTTTTTTTAAATTACATGTCATAAACTGACAATGATATTATGTTCGGGGAAAGAAGAGGTTCCATTTTGTTCACATTGCTCTGACCTTCCTTGAACAAGTAATCTCTCTTTCATCAGTAAAAAGATTACAGCTTTGTGTTGCAATTTTAGACCTTTCTTTAAGCTAAATCTAATATGAAATTAAAAAGTTCCTTTGGGACAAATGTTGTTTTTGCAATTTGTTTTTAATCAAAAGTATTTTTCAGTCGCATTTATGTAAACATTTGTTTAAACAGACACATAGCAAATGGCTTTTTTGAATGACAAAAGTACTAAAAGTCTGTCAATCTTAAAGCTAAAAAACAAAATGTGTTTGTTCCTGGAGACGCTCCCCTACAGCCTGGCGGTTAGGAGCAGGGCAAGCAAACTTCATGTGGTGCAGTGTAAGCCAAAATAAACACTATAGACGTAACAAGCCTCTGCTTCGCTCTGACAAATGCAAACTCAAACATAGCCTTATTTTTCAATTCAGTTATACACATAATAGCTGTATTTGTATATGAACTCTTGTGCACAGACAAACCAACATGACCTGTGTGTGTACAGTACAATAAGCTGAGTAAAGTAGCAACTCTGTTCCCCACATCGTCTCACACAAAGAACCAACAGTGATCATTTTCTCTATTCTCTACTGCTCTCTCATTGGAATGTAAATAAAGTAGTTTTCTATTTGTAGCAAAGATGTGCAGTTGTGTGCTGCATATAGATGTGTCACTGAACACTGAAGGGGTAACTTATTGACATCCCACTCCCTTACATAAAAAGTTTGTCCTCATGCATTAAGACTCTTCGTCCAACTGTAACTTTAAGGGAACATTCAATATAATTTAAATATATGCATTGATTCTGTTTTGAAATTAATGAATATCGTACAGGATAAATCTTGTGGTTGGGCTTTGTAACATCACTGAAAATATTCACTGGCTCTTGTTTGAAAGTGAAAGTTATTGTAGGTCACATATACGTCATAGTGGCCTGTTGAGTCTGATTGTGACCAATTTAGTTAGATGTATTCAAATCTAGGTGATCGGAGGTTGATATTAAATCTCTCCTAATATGGAGTTAAATGTGCTTTTTAAATTGTTATCTACAAAAATAACTACAGTGAATGTGTAAAATGGTTCAGTATCCTACTTTAACATTATCTTTATAGCCCCAAATTACACAACAGAAAATCCTCTAGAGTCAATAATACCACAGAATATGAGTGTTTGTGATAAACTGATGAGAGCCTGGCTGCATTATGGGGACTTGGTCATTATTCTTTTGTCTTGACATCTTAATGTGGGCCTTACATGTAATCCTCACAAAATATGGATCACTTTTAAACTATATATCACAATCCTTTATTAACACTTGTTTTAAAATAGAGATGATAGACTAAATATTATGCCTGTTCGTGGTCATTTTAAACTTGGTTTGACATTTGTGACAGAACTCACAAAGGCCATACAAGGTCTGTGCACTATTCTTTGTCCACGCTGCCACTGCTGATTTCATATTAGTGACATCACAATCTGGAAGCAGCCAGTACATACAGTTTCATTTGTTACAAATACAAAGACACACTTATTAAGTAGTTGGCCCCTTTATATTTTCTGCAGATATTTAAAACAGTTTGCACAATCTACAACTTAATAAGTTAAAATTCAGAATGTATGCAGTTTCACAAGATGGGAGCAACAACCTATAGTGCAGTGGCTAAATTGCAATAATGTGTTTTATATAATTCTAGTTAATTGAATTCATTTTCAGACTTCAACAAAATCATGTTTGGCCACCTCTGTCTAGTGTTATAGGATGTGTGTGCACAGTTGTTTAGTTTTTTCTACCTGTTTTTTAATCTTTTAATAAAACATTTTAAATCCAATTTTTAAGTTGTACAGTACACACATGCATGCTTAACACATGATAAATTGTCTGTTCTTCTAAAAATATTTCCTGTTTCTGGAGAAATTTGAAACATACCTACTTATATTACTGTACTATTATATAATATATACAGTCTATAATTTGTCAAATGACTTTGCCGAATGACTGCCCAGGTTTTAGGACTAACAGCATGTGGAGCTCCAAAGGAACAGCCGCATATCGCAACGAGATCTCCACGTGGAGCACAAAAGATGGGTCGGTTCGCGTGGGCTTCTTTCCCACTTCCTAGTCCTGGTTAAACCCCGCCCTGTTGGTTTAATAACATATTACTTTTGGTGCTGCGATAACTCAGTGTTCCTACGTGTGTAGGCTGAATTATAAACCCACAGTGTAGCTTCGTTTTTAGGGAGGTCGTGTTGTTTGTTCTTCTGTGCTTTATTTTCATGCCACAAGCCAGAAAACACAAAGACTCAGATGACATTTTAATCAACTGAAAATGTAATTTGGCGTTAAAGCCATGTTTACAATCGTACATAACAGTCTGATGCATACTCGCCATATTTATTTACAGGTTCATTTATTTTAATATTTTTGCGTGTAGCATCAAGCCATCGGCCACAGTAGCCCACCCCTCCCCTCAACTGATTCAGAACTGTGGACACTGAAGCCATCTTCCATTTCTCAACCCCATAAGTGCATTTAAGTCCACTGGAACAGTGAACTGCTAACAGTGTCCAGATTTGTTTGGTTTATTAATTCTGTCGCCAGCAGGAGGTTTTAGTCGCCATATGTGGAATATCTCGCACGTTTAGACATTTTTTAAGGGGGTAATGTTGTTTATGGAAAATGCACGATACTTTAAAACACTCTAAGAGGACATTGATTTGGGTGCTCCACAAAGACCACTAAATAAATTAAAGGCAGTATAGCTGTACTTAAGATTGGGTTGATCTGGATTAATAATTCATGGAGCAAGCATTCAGTTAGATTATCCCTATCTATTCCTATTATTCAAATCCATGTTCATTCTGATTTAGATGGGAAGGTATCTGCAAAATGGCACCTACTGCATCCGTTATTTTCTTTTTCTGTATAGATTTAGGCCTTCAAAACATTAAATTAACTACTATCTACCACCAAATAGCCACTGCCCAAAAAACGCCATGCTCCAATTTCTCCAATTGTGTAAAGCACTTTAAATGGCTAAAGAATAACAAATTGTAATCACCTTTTTATTTAACTAGTGGGCAGCATAGTTTTATTTGGGCAAATATGTACATTTTAGCTGCAACATCTCGCCGCCATCTTATCTGCCAAACAAAGCGTTGTTTTGCGGTATGTCTTTTAGCAGTTAAAGGTAAACCACAAGTTAGGCTACTGATTTAAACTATGCAGGGCAATTTTGACACAATGTCGTAGGGGAGTATTAACAAGGAAACTGCGCTGACTGTCCCACGCTACAAATTAACTTTTTGTCAGGGGGCTGTTTAGGCAAAATTCTAGGGCCACTGACACCATGATGAAACGACTGGCCGCGGTAAAGTCCTCCGGTGGGAGCTTGCGCATTGGCTACTGGAGCTCTACCGCCACGGCGAACGTGTTACGTCACAACCCGAGAGCACGGATGTGTGTGTGAGGCAGAGAGAGAGAGGGGGGCAGAGAGGAGAGTGTGTGTATTCGCTCCACAGAGGGTGAGAATGGAAACGTGATCGAAAAGGTAGAAGAAGTAAAGGAAATACAAAGGGAGGAAGAGAAAGTCTCAGGTCTGTGCTGTCAGCCCAGGAATTACACATCCGAAACATTTTCTCGCAAACTTGGTGAGAGTTGTCGTTACCGGCGCGCGGACTGTGCTCGAGGTGGGAACAAGCGGAAAAAAAAAAATCTCCGGCATGTTGGACTCCCGCTTCCCTCGCGCTGGCGGCCCGGGAATCACGCGCCATTGAAGGGGGGTGATATTGTGCATGCGCTTTGGCTCCACTGCGTGCACGCTCGGGTCGGTCGATGCGAGCACACTGGCGTGGCTCTCGGCCTCCATTTGCCAGTTTGTGTTTATCTTCGAGGGATTCACCGAGGCCCTATCAACGGCGACGACGACGTGCAACAGTTGGAGTTTCACCGTGAACGTTGTTATGATATCGCCCCCGTAGGCCACGAGGTATTCAACCGATGTTCAAAGGTGAGGCGTTAGTGAAACCTGCAACTTTTCCAACTTGGTGAGTGGTGGAGCGGGCGGCCTTCCTCTCTGCGGTGTGTGAGGAAGAAAGAGCTGTTGTCACACAACTTAAATTCTCAGCGTGGCTTCATATTTTAGGAGGAAAAATAGTTACACGGAGAAAGGTTGGGTGTTAGTGTTGTAAACATGCCGGTTATAACCCATTTGATGCACTCGTTCGGCCGGTTAACACCTTTAGACAAACCTACAGCATCTGTGTGCTGGTGTGACTGAGTGATAAAAATTGACCCGAGGAGGGCAGGACAAGAAGAAAACCGGTTACGTATTTAGCTTGTGCTCTGTCGTCAAACAGAGATTATTTCATTTCGGCAGCAAATGTAGAAGCGATTTAACAGTTACGAAATGTCAGTGTTTAGTGTCTTATTCATGATTGAAATAAAGGCCTGTCCGAGCATTTCAGCCATGTCCTGAGCTTGGTGTTTTCAGGCAGGCTATTGGGTTAGTCAGACAGAAGTGGTCTCGCAGCCCACTTCACGAGTCCACTTTTCTCAGACAGCAAAGAGAAATTAGATATCAAACTTAAACTACGTCATAGCCTTTGTGCCATTTGTTAATCTATATAGTAGTAGTCACATTGATTGTGAAAGTGTGCAAGCCAAGGTTATTGGGGCATATTTGTTTTGGTGGGGGGTTTTTTAAATATTTTTTTCTTAAATCCTACTACATTTTTCACCTGGTGGCTCAGTAGGCATGTGTAATTTTGAGCTTTGCTCCAAATTTCATTCAACATTTTCGA